TGCCGGGCGGAAGCGACGGGGGAGGGGCGGGTACAGCTGGCTCTGCCTCTAGATAGGCAGAGCCAGCTGTCACTCACGCAGCTGGGCGGATCCAGATATAATTGTCGGGATCCGCTTCAGCGTCTCAGTATACCGCGAGCTCTAGCTCACGGTATACTGAGCTTAGGGTGACGGGAGGACGCTAGTTTGTGTCCTCCCGCTACCCTAAGGAGAACTATGGGGAAAAGCCCTAACCCCATAGTTCTTCTTTAACCTCTACTTCTTCTTGGACCATTAAGTGGTGGATTCGCTAGTGTGCGTTTTATCATCGTGTTGAAACACTTCTTTCTGATTCAACTTTGGGAAAAATGGTCTTTCATTAAGCACTTTGATGCAGTATGTATAGTTGATTTGATGACTGTGAGCTGCCCAGGCCCTGAAGTAGCAGAGCAACCCCAAATCATAACATTTACACCACCATGCTTCCCAGTTGTTGAAAATCTTCTACTAAAAACACGCTTACATGACTGTAGAGGGGTTTACATATTAGTAAGCAATTATGTTTTAGCTTTTACTAATCTGCTATAGTGGAATACCAACTTGCGTCCGATCACAGTCACACTTTTCATCTATTTAGAATTCATAAATGAGCTTAAGACTATAAGAACTAAACATTTTCACTAAGCTGGTTAGTAGGTTACGGACAAATGATCCTGTGGGTTTCATGTCAAGCAGTGACTGTCAACACAGATGTAACTGCAGCTACTGGTTCCTGATAGCAGCGGGATGCTGCCGACAACCCCACCAGTTTCCAAAACAATAGTGTGGACAACAAAGTACAAGAAGAGATTAGTGAGAAAAAAAGCTTGAACTCAAAATGGTTGTCACCATGGCCAAATAAGTTACTTGTAACCTGGGACACTGGCAATACTGGACCCTTAAGTTAAATTTGTTGAACCGTTCCAGATATGGTAATACAGATAAAAGTAGTTTTTCAAGTTTATTGTAAACTTGTGCTGTGCCTATGCACTGTGTAAACTCAAGTCGAAGCTTACAGTGTTAAGGACTCTCCCCACCCCATGTCACAGTGCTGGTATAATCACAAAGCAACAGTGCTTGGACATGAGGAAGGGTAGTGAGTGACATGTTCACTTATACTAGATATTTCTCTTGAGTATGTGCTGTTGGGAAAAGGGAACTTAGGTGGGCCCATTACTTTGGAAGGAATGGGCAAAACCTGTTTTTACTTTTTTTTGTCATTAGTTAAAATAACCTGTTTAACACGTAGGGATTATGTATGTAATCAAAGCATTCTTTTACTTACACTTCATCACAGCAGTTGGACATTTTTTCTATAGTAGTCATATCCTGAAATTAATAAAGAAAAATGTACATTAACATAAACATATATGCTTATGACTGAACCAAAAAATTAAATAAAATTACCATATAATATTTAGACACACCCACAACACATACAGAAGTCACCAGTTGTCCTTTTATGCATTTAGTTTAAAAAAAAAAAAGAAGGTCTTTACACTTGCATTGTAGGATTCATTAAAATATGGATAACACGAATTTAAAAGTAAAATAGTCAAACACAGTGATGATCTGGTCACTTTCAAATGTGAGGATCAGAACTGTAATATGAAATTAGCTATGCAGTAAAACCCTAAAGGGCCTGTATACATGAGTGTTGGTTTTAAAATGTAGGTCAGCAAAGTCCCTTTACTTTAAAGAACTCTCACTATAGACTATTTTCCTCATCCTGCCCCCAAGTGCATTTAGCACTTTGTTTCTGTGTCGATTGGTGCTTTGGATTCAGAGCTAGCATTGTCTAGAGTGCGCCCCCTAACCCCCACCGCTGTCCGAACACATAGCTCTGAAGAAAATAAATACCCAATTACTTGAGTTTGACAGTACTGGTTTTCGGGTCCAATCGCTTGCCTGGGACCAGAGCTACAACAACTCATGTAGGGAGAGGGGGGCATGTCAGCACACAAACAGTATTGAGCTCCAACACAATCACAACAGAGGGGAGTACACTGCAGCTGAAGGGACATCTCAAATTACAAATCTATCTGAACACACTGGCATTACTGAGCTCAGGCATGACCACAGCAGTCCCTTTCTGCTGTGATTATGCTCGAGCTTAATGCTTTTTATGCATGCTGACATGTCCCCCCTCCCTGCTAAACTTAGACCTGTTCTCCTATTTCTGTTTCTTTCTCTCCTCTGCTGTTATGTGTGCCTATCTGAACACAAAGATATACATTCCCTCAATAGAGGGGGCAGTGCTCAACGAAGGGGTGGAAGGAACTGGGCTGGGTGTGAACTCCCCAACAGGAAAGCCCAAAAATCCAGCTCCATAATGGGGTGGAGCTCACAGGCAATAGCAGAGAGAGATGAGATTTTATGGAGGACTGTGCAGCATTTCTTTTCCAAGGCAGAAAAAAAAACTCTTTACAGTTGAATCAAGAGAGCAGCACATAATCTTTTATACCTCACAAGCCAGCTTCTTTAATGCTGTGGATGACAGTTCTGATGCTGTGTTTGACCTGTCTTAGGGGCAGCAGGACCTATTGAGATGCATTTGAATTGCAGGGAAAGCCTTTTTCTGCATTTTGTGTTTGAATGCATGCATCTGAGCAGCACTGTGTTCAAATGCAAAAGGCAGTCTCAGACTATGCACATATACAAAAGCCTTTACAGTAGTGCCAGCATGCCCCGAATGTCTGTCTGTCTGGAACCCTAGAGGCCAATCTGGTGGGATGTTCTGGTATAATTTAGCATTTGTAGATCTAAAGCTTTATTCAGTCACAGAGATTTGTATACAGCAGCAACACCTTGAAAATTCTTCCTTAGCATTTTGAACAACTTGAAAACCTGCACACTGTACTCCTTGGTTACACAGAGAACATAAGTTATAGTAATACATTTAAGGTCAGCATATGGCAATATAACCATTGTAGAAAATCTGGATTAAAAAAAAAAAAAAAAAAACAGCACCAAGACCAGTGCTAAATGCTAGGCAGAAGTTAAATCAATTAAAGCTCCAGACCTATAAAAGTATTCAGAAGACCAAAATGCTGTTGCTCATTACATCAGGATTAGCACAATCTCAGCAACAAATGAGATCTGTCCAACAGCACCCCAATGTGTGGCTACAGATAAAATGAAAAACAGTCAGTCATGCACTGCAGGAGGTCAACCAGTGCTGGAAATTTCACACACAAGACTGCTTATAGAAAATGATAAGGAATGTAGAAAGCCTATTTAACTCATCCACTTCTAACAAGATAACTCATTCTACCTGCGATTTCAGATAATCACATTAACAGCACATTACATTCACTTAGTCAATAAAGACCCAATTAATCAGACAACGTCTTTAACGCTAAGAGCTTATTCACACTAGAGAGGTTTTCCTCAGTATACAGAAGCATGTTGAAGAAGGTGTTTTCCATGCATGTTATTGCATTTACATGAATTTTAATACAGGTTACTATGCTTTTCAGGCTAAATAATCAGGCCTCTTGAAGCACTCAGCTGCAGCACATGTGCATGATATTAAACCATGTGTCCGTATGTTGTTTTCTAGCTTTTAAAATATATACAGTAGACGTGGTTGCTCTCGCCAGTAAATGGCACACATATATATATATATACACACACACACATACATACATACATACACACACACACACACACAGAGGGCATGAAAAATGTTAGGGTGTCTCACCAGTCAAAAATGTCACCAGTCAGCATGACCGGACTATAGCCTTGCAATTTATGTTAACATTTTTGGGGACAGATAGAGCTTTCTTTTGGAGGTATATTTTTTACTATATAATTAAAAAAGTACCGTACATTTGGAATACAAAAAAGTTTCCCTACGTTATGTCATATTTTTGGTAAAACATAAAAGATGTGGTCACGTTAGGTAAATAGACAGCAAACATGTGAAGCTTTAAAATTGAGTGCGCCCGCAAAATCGCAAAAAACGACCACACTGAAAATTGGCCATAGGCGACGCTTAAAATGCTTTTACCGCTCATCAGTTTAGTGTTATCAGTAATTAATGGCCCTAAAATGATTGCTCTCACACTGACGATCATGGTTATATGTAACATGTGCGGCACAATAGGCGCAATCGTTGTTTTTGTACATAGGCACACCTGACGCAAATCTGCATGTGTAATGCTTCTTTTTTTTTTTACACAGCTTTTGCATTACTTTTTTTTTTTAACACAACTTTATTGCTAATCACATGGGGGGCTAAGAAGCCTCCTATGAGATAGCCAATTTACATGACAGGTCCTCTTTATGAAGACATCAGGGGTCTCCGAGACCCCTAATGTCACCTAGGAACCCCCAGAGAAGCGTTTTAAGAAAAAAAAAAAAAAAAAGGTTATTTTGAAATTGATGGCAGCAACATGTTTAAAAAGAGTTGGAAAATCTTCGGCTGCAAGCTCTGTAGGGCATTCAGAGAGCGTCCGGCGGCCACTACAGCGGGGATTCATCCATCCATGCCCACAGGTTGAACAAAAAAAAAAACCAGACCCATGTATACCCTTACCTAACCCTGAACTGTCATCTAACCCTTAACTTACACAAACATGGGGTGAATATACAACTTCATGCAAATGGTGATGTTTTTAATACAGGAACCCAGTGCTGTAAGGACAAAGTGCTGATCACTAAACCCTCCTACACAGTTACAATGCTTCATTCTGACAAACTTGCATTGTGAGAAGTCCCAATGCCTGTTTACGTCAGTGTGGCAATGTCAACCACCTCTTTATGACCTCCTCGCATTCCTACTGGCCCACAGGAATGTGCAGGAGGTAACAAGGGAGGACAAGCTTAGGTACCATCAGAAGTGCTGACGATTTGTTTACAACACATAAAGGGTATTAGAACCACTAGGAACCTGCACTTTATACCTTCAGTAGGACTTTTTTTTTTTCTTTTATTTGATGACCGATTCTCTTTAAGGCAACATGAGCTCTGCCAAGCCTAATGGAAAACGATTAGAACAGGAATATAAAAAAAATAAACACCAATGAAGACCTCATTTCACACATGCTGCCCAACTAATGAAATTATGTCATTTACATAACAGAAACAAATCATGATAATCCTTTACAATTAGGCTACAGATTAGTCTGTTTGAAGGATGTAGTCAAACTGAAAACATCTGGTCATGTTAAGAGGGAAGAAGGGCATTTTTAACTTTTAGGAAATAAGATTACCAGAGCCATTCATTCCATACAAGTGCCTGGGTAAAGTCTAATTACTTTATCTGGGTTACATATAATCTTCCTGTGCAGGCTGTATACAGCAACATGAGATGGGAAGAGATCATTTGTGGAGTCACCCACCCAGAATAGTCCTATACATATTTTTCAAATATTCATTTAGCAGGGTAGGGCTACAGATTGTGCTTTAGTTGCAGTGGAGAGATCAGTCATTTTTTGTATATAATCTGGGAAACGCAGACCTAATGTAAACCCGTCATGAAAACAAAACTGGCAATGCCATTTCTGCCTTCTTCTAAAAATGCTGGTTGTTTAGCTGCCAAGCTGATCCTCTGGTTTACACACTTGAGTCACCGACCTTTCTGGTCTGTATAGTTGTTTCAGGTCAGCAACTCAGACAGTACTGAAGGCAAAAGATCAGCATTACTGGCAATAATGTCAGCTTTCAAGTGGAGGTTAGCAATGTTAGCCCCTGTGTTTCTTTGTATTCTACTGAATATTACAACTCTGGTCCAGGTCCACCCACCACACTCCAACACGACTCCACTCCAAGAGGATATTAAACATTTAAAAAGAGAAAATTTGTTAACTAATGAAGGTAAAAATCTATGTTAGTGAATTGAGCCTAATATGTAATGTCACCAACATTCAATATTATATTTATGTAAATAGTCGCAAGAATATAACTTCCTACAAAAGCAAATTTAAATCAACAGTAAATTTAATTACACCACAATACAGAGTGATACAGTGCACCTTCCCCCTATTTCCAGCTAACACATTCCTCCTGTGTCACCTATACAAATTGCCCTGATGTGCACCCTCCCCACTATTTAGCTGCCACAAGTCCCACCAAAGCCATCACAATTTCTATACTTCTAATGCCGGTATAAAGAGAGCTAATCACAGGCAATTTGTGAATAATGAGAAGATGTGGGTGGGTTCTTCCTGCCAGTTTTTATTGACATGTACCTGCTTGTTTATCACCATTCATTATGTGGGAAGACTTTGTAGGTGAATTTTTGGCAGGGATAAATGAATTAATATTACTTTTTTTGCATACTTGAAATATTTTTTTTAGCAATCAAAATTCCTTCTTACCCCTGTCTACCTGCACCTCGCAGACTATAATGCTGCCTGGGGAGGCACAACTTCTTAATATTAACTGAATATGCGGTCATGTTATAGGGGCATGTATAGGGGAGTAAAGGCCACGGGAGATGAAAACAGCAGGTCTGCTTGGTGGTTCTGATGTGATGTTACCAGCCGTGCCCGTTTAAAACTACAAGGATGTGGATATCAGTCCAGTCACCCCGCACAGGGAGGACAAACAGTGGTGACTGGCCATTGGAATATAAAGCGCCTGCACAAAGGTTGAATGAAGTGCAGGTTTAGGGATGGATTGCTAGACTTATATAGTAGGAGGGGGGAAAAAAGAGCAGCATTAAAAAGGTAGGACTACACAGGTCCTATGTTTCTAATTAACAGTTATTCTACATGAGACTCAGATATTAGTCTAAATGTAGCATGAATTACAAACTTTTCCTGTGCAGAACTTCTTTTTTTCCTTGTTGCCCAATAAAGAACTGTACATACCTGTGAAAATGGACACTGTATACAGATCTGTGGTGACATCTTTAACTTTGGCTGTACAAATCTACTCTAATGTTTTTAAGTAATGTAGGGACCTTTAGACAAATCCTAACAGTCAACCAAAAAGTCAATCAAATGATTACAAGAAAAAAAAAAAAAAAAATACTCCAGAAAAAAATGAGTTTAAGGTTTCTCTACAATTCTAGCACACACCATATATATTACTAACATGGTACCCTACTATAAAACATGAAACAGCAGTGTCACATTTTTCATTTTAAGTCACTTAACATTTTAGACAGAATGTCCAAACCGACCAAAGATTTAATTTATCAACATGATTAATATAAATGAGACCAGGATTAGACTTATGGTCCATTAATTAATCAAGGCCTACCTGGAGAGATCTATAAATCACAGGACAGCATATAAAGCCAACTGCAAATCTAAACATGTGTTAAGGGTATTGCTTCAGCTCACAATTTTGAAACAAGGCTAAGTTGTAACTCTAAAAAGGTCTGTATTTGGACATCTGCTGATGCTAATAATTTTAGCAGACTTGGTTTAATAATAATTAAATAAATCAATCTAAAATTTAAATATAACATTACAGTATACTGTATCTAGCAGTACCAAAACCATATTGACTGCACACTACAACGCAGGCACCAGATGGTTTCAGCAGCTAAAGCAGAAAAGTATTTTGGTACCTGCACTGCAGTGCTGGAGACTGTCAGTACCGTTTTGGTTATTTGGAAAGAATGAACCATTTTCATGATCTTTAACCAAAAATCTGTATTGTAAAAGTCCACTGGAGTCATCCACATAGCCAATATGGAACATCATTTTTGCATCAGTGCGTTAGCTTTATATCACTTTGAAAAAGCGGTGGAAAAATTATCTCCAAAGCCCCACTGCCTCATGGTCCCAGTAGCTTTGAACTGCAAAGCCCAATGCAGAGAGATGCAGAGCCAGCTGTCAAGCAATATTGTCGGGATCTGTCCTGGCTTTAAGCACGCTGTCAGCACATAGTGGGACTTTGAGTTTACAGAAGGACAGTAGTAAATGTCCACCTGTGACCCAAAAGAGAACTATAGCCAAAAAAATTTTAACCATAGTTCTTTTAATATGCAGCTGTGAAGAAATATAAGGATGCCGAATAGTAACACTTATAAAGCCTTCTTCTATTTTTGCATCATGTAAAGGTGCTGTAAATAAGTGTTATAATATATTGCTGTGTGATACAATCTCAACAGGTCCGATAGTATTAGGTAGGCATATTATGAGGGGAAGACTGATTATCGGATCTATGGATAAATCGGAACTGATATTCACATATTTATTCAATATCGGTCAAAATGACTGATATTACCGATAATAAACAAACACTGTCCAAATTTCAGCCGCTTCTTGAGGAACCGGCCGAAATTTGCTCAGTGGGTGCCGTTATCTGGTCGGCATCCCTCGAACAGCTCATCGAAGGAGGCGGTCAGAAGCTGACATTGAGCTGCCATTCCTGTTCGAGTATTTTGACAGCAGCCGGTGGACCATTAATGTTCCTTCAGGTCCTCCTCTGCTGATCGTAGGAGCCAGTCAGAAGCCGGCAGCCATTGAGCTGCCAGCCCTGTTCAAACATTTTGACAGCGGCCGGTGGACCACTAATTAGTTCTCCTTCAGGTCCTCCTATGCTGATTGACAGAAGCAGTGGGTGGGTGCAGTAGCCAGCCTGCTATTGGCTATTCCAATTTGTAATAGTCAATAGCAGCCTAGCTATTCATTCCCATGCTGTCATGTTTGACATGACATGCTGATGTTTGTCAACCATTTGCTGTTGTACATAGAGGAAGGCTGCAATGTAAAGACCAAAAGTATAAAGTGTCTTTATGCCTCAAACAGAATATCAATATAGACAATTACTTACTGTTAGTATACCAACAACCTGTGTATAGAACAGGCTGCACATGCCTCCAAACATGAGAATGCCCATAAAAGTCGATATTCTGAGCATTGCTAGCTCATGTCTAAAAACAAACACATCCTGCAAATACACAAGAAACAACTGATTAATGCAACACTATATAAAATCAAATTCTAGGAAAATATATTTATGGACATTCAAAACATACATATCAGCATTTAGCAAGAGGTGTCTCAGAGTTAACAAAAGAGAATTCTTTTTAACCGGTAGATCCTGCTACTTGATTCTAGCAAACGCTTCTGGTATACTGTAAGAGTCAATAAAGTGTTTTTCAACATACCCACTCTTTTCACTTTTATTAAGATAGTGTGACAGAGCTTGTATGATATATACAGTATTACAGCATGCATGATATATACAGTATTACAGCATCTATGTTCCATATTAAGCCCCATTTATAAGCAATTAGCAGAGCAATTCACCCTGTGAACATTTATATTAGGCGAACGGAGGCAAAAAACAAAACAGTCTTAGTATATTTCCTTTTCAAGTTGAAAGTAAAATTCAGAAAATACTACATTATGGCCACTAGATGGAGTCGAGAAGCATTAAAATAAATACTTCCTAGGTTCCCCAGCTCCATCTAGTGGCCATAATGCAGTATTAAATTACATTTGACCAGATACAGAGCAGGGCATTTATTACCGAGGGACATGAAATGGGGAGAATAAATATGGAAAACCCGGATTTAGTGAAACCTCTCGTTCTTAGAACAATATTCAAAACAATTTTACACATGTGCAAGAGGCAAAGGGCATGAATCCTGAAAACGATCTCTACATCCTAGAAATAAGGCGGCTTCTAGGGAATGCTGCGTCTGAAATCAAGGCTGTTCACAGACATACACAGTAAGGCCTAGAATATATATAGGAATAGGTTTAGACTATAAATTCATTTTTTTTGTTATATAGGTTTAATTTTCTGAACCAATGTTGATCCAAGTTCTGCCCTAATACCATTAATCACATGCATTATGGCAAGTGGTGTGTAATTATCTACAATGCTTATATAATCATGCTGTACAGTTTATCTCTACCCAATTTACGTTGCCAGAAAAGATCCAATGCACTTGCCAAGTAACTCTCTGACGAAGATGTCTGTGTGTCAGGTAAATGTGTGAAATTAAGCTTTGATGGCACGTGCGGACAGCTCCAGTGCTGGCTCGCTATCTTTGTAAGCCGATTACATTTTGTTCTTTTGTTCCTTGTATGTTAAAAGTTGATAATATGCCAGATGTGGTAACGCAGCAAAAAAGTGGAAATTAATGTCATGCAAATTCTAATATATGTACAATTATATAGAGTAATTTACCATGCAAACACAACTCAACTTGCTTTTACGCTACTTTAACAAATGAATATCATCTCATGATGAACCCAAGCTTTATTATTGCATAAGCATCATGAAAAAATGCAGCATGTAGGAGTTTTGTGTCTGCTTTACGCCTTTGCTGGAAGCTGCGGCAAAATGTATGGCAAAGCTACGAATGAGACACCCTATATAAAAATCATTGCAACAGTCAGTACAAGGAAGACACATTCTTCCAGATTGTAGGAGCCAGGCTTGTTTGGGTAGGTAACCAAATAGCCGTGCAGAGCAGACTTTCCAACATAACATCCAACACACAGCTAGATGAAGTCATTGTGATTATGGACTTTCCATCCCCTCTGGTGGTAATTAAAGATTGATTTCCTAGATTCATTTCAAGGAATATAGATTTGCACACTATAACCTCCCCATGCATGAAACAATTATTGTAGACTAGGTCCACACTCAAGGTTTGCCATAAAAATCAGTAAGTCATAAATATAGAAAAAAGTTAAAGTGTATGTAAATACTAACAGGGTTATTCACAAAAGGGTGAAGAGTTTGGAGGAGGCAGGAGAAGTGAAAAATCTAGGATAACATAGCTGAACTGGAAAGTGAGCTGAATTGGAGAATTTTTCCAGTTCAGCTATGTTGTCCTAGATTGTTCACTTCTCCTGCCTTCTCCAAACTCTTCACCCTTTTGTGAATAGACCTGTAAATCTATGGGTCAGCTTGTTTGGCACCATGTCTTAGTGCAGTGGTTCTCAAACTGTGTAACATCAGGTCCCACATTTGTCCTTGGTCATTAAGTCGTGACCCAAGTTGCACTGCAATGGAACGCACAGCATTGCGGTACTGCGTGTTCCGATGCGTTCAATAGAACTGTGGGTGGGAGGTGCATTTGGGGTGCCATTCAAATGAATGGCAATGCACTTTTCACACATAAACGCGTGGTAGGTGCGATTGCGAAGTACAGTGCGCTAATCGTATGGGACTGTGCGATTAACGCACTGTACTAGTGTGAATGGGCCCTCAAAAACACACAACCACAGACACAATCTCACACACACACACACACACACACACACACACACACTGCAAATAAAAAACAAAAACGTTTGTTCTTTTTTTAAGATCCACCCAGTCTCCCTACCTTATGAGAACTGGAGTGGATCCTTAGCCTGGGGTCCAGTGTGGGCTGCTGTACTGTGATGGAGCTCCATCCATATGTGCATTGCTTGTACAGCTCCCTTGCACGCCCTGTATAGGTGTCGAGAGCCAGTATGTTACATCACAACGGTCCAGGCACCTCTACAGGACGAGCGAGGGAGCTGTACAAGCACTGCAGATATGGATGGAGCACACCATACCTCAAGCTGACACTCGGCACCAGGCAGCATATTTTGAATGGCTGCTTGGCACAAGAACTGACAGTGCTGTGCTAGGGGGAGGCTGGAGGAGCCTCTCACCTAGAAAAGTGGAAGGCACACGGGGGCCCACTGAACACAGTCTATTGCTATGCCTGATGAAGGGACCCTGTGTGGCCCCGAAAGCGCTTGTGTAACTGACATGAGTTTGCAATAAAATCTACGAACTTTGATCCTATAAGGATTTGGTGTGCTGGTGACGTTTCTGCAATCCACTGAACACAGGGTCGCAACCCACTTTTGGGTCACAACCCACCAGTTGAGAACCAAGGTCTTAGTGTATACAGTTTCATTGAGCCAATTGTTTTTGTGAATCTGTTGCAAAGTTTCCTGGAGATTCTGCCAGTAACAGCACTTCTTGTTTCAAGCTGACAACGACAAGCCACTGCATCACAATTAATTAGTAGCATTGTTGTCAGCCTGCCGTACATGCTCCTTTAATTGGCCATTGGGCTGCCTATCTGATCGACCTAATTGCAAGACCTTAAGTGAATATTGGCATTGTAGGCAGTTGTGTTTTTTGTATGATTTAAGCTGGCAGTACTTACTGAAGAACACTACAGCAACCTCCTAAATCAACTTGATACAGAATTTCAAAATCCTGGGCACCAGACTGATGTACCCCTTATTGGTGATCAATACACAACAGGTAAGTGTACCCATAACCGTTTGATAGCCATTATCTGATTCCATACCAATTGTAGTGTTTACAGGTACATTTAGTGATGGAGATAAAGTGGTGAGGGTTTAAAATCTGTGTCAAGTTTTTATTTGCTGTCCGAGTCCTCATTGGGGAGATTTACCCTTTCTCTTTTTGCCAGGGCAGAAAGTGGAGAAATCTGAAATTTTAAGGTGTCATTGGGTCAGGAATTAATCGAAATCTCCCAATGGCGACACTAGTTTAAGTGACGACTGTTGAAGAAAACTTAAGGAACTAAAAAAGGAAAATGGAACACAGATTGCAAAAAAAAATTAAAACTGTGAGTGGTTTTAACCCTTCCCACACTATCCTATAAAGGTTTTGCTTTAGATACAAGTTAATGGGATACAGTTACTGGCACTGAATGAATCAATCATTCACAAAACATTTTTTCAACAAAAAACAATCTGCCAGCCCTTGAAAAGCGGCAAAATGTATGGTATCCTTTGAGGCCAAAAAGTAACAAGTAAAAACAGATACAGCATACAATAGAAATTCAATCTTAAAAACCCTCAAAGTCTGCATTGTTTTACATAAGAGATATCTCCAGAGGTAAAATGACTGAGACGGATAATACAATATTGCCCTCTGCTGTTCAATTTTCACTCAGAACACTAAATGAATAGTTATATAAAGGGATTATACACAGGAGCTTAGAAAGAGCATTTAGAAAGCAAGGCAGCATAGGGAAGAGGCTTGGGGGGGACCAGTCACACAGAGAGGAGAAAAAGTCTGCAGAAAGTCAAGTATATCACCTTCTTTAACATTCCCTATGAAAAACAAGGAGTAACTCTTGCATCAGGAAGGAGGATCCAGAGCAAGGGTAAGGGTCTCCCGCAGTTCAGCTTTAAGAAATAGTCAGCAATTGCAGCTCCCGCAGTCCTGTCAGGCATCTTATAATGTTGCAGCACTAAACATTTTTGTTGTTCTACACAAAGGCAATCTCTATAAACTAAATGAGAAAAATGGAAGAGAGCATTAAGTAACAACTACAATTTGTAGAGGTTATTGGTCTCTCCTGCCATAGAACCAGAACGGTCAGCATTATGCTTACTCATTAAACAGTGACCAATTTTTGGCTACAACTATAAAATGACTGTAACTGGCAATTCAGCTACAATCCATTGACAGGAGCATGAATACATAGCTAAACGCTGCCAAAGATCAATCACTAAGCAAGTCCGCTACAAAAAACTGTTGGCACCACTGTTACAGCAGCTCCAGTGAGTCGGCATTCTTCAACTTTAATGGAAGAGACTTAGTAGCGGTTACAAAATCATTAGCATGATATTCCTCCCTGTGCATAAAAATAGACCAACAGGGATATTCTACCCCTGAATGCAAAATTCAGCCCATAGATCTGAACTACATTAAAACTGTGCAAAGATACATAGCCTTTCTTTCTGAAAACAATGGTTGCCAATATGCTGATGCGGAGTCGGTGACTAAGAACAAGCACAGATATGAGGAATTATGGGGCAATTCAATAATGTTGTCATGAAAGATTTATGATGCTATTGTTGGAAGGGTGTAGCGCCAAATTCATGTAGGCTTTGTAATAGGTTCTTTGCTTTTTCCGACAGGTGCGACAAGTAGTTCTGGTTTACAACCCTTTACTAATATGTCGCTATGGCTGTGACAAGTTCATTAACATACACCAGCAGATGGGAGATGAGATAAATGGAGGCAAGTAAGAACAATGTCATTTTTGAGTAACAGGCCCCCTACCCGGAACAGGTTGCTTTTGCTCTGTGGGTTGCACAGCCTTCTTGGTTCCTATGATGCTGCCGAGGACACAGCAACCTTGAATGCTATGACACTGTCGGCCGCACAGCACCGTAATAACCAAATGGTGCTATGCAGCTGACAGAATCATAGCAACCAAAAGACACTGTGCTGCCAAAAGCATCACAGCAACCAAGGACAATGTCTGGCCTGGGGAGCCTAACATGCATGGAGCAGTAATCAAAAGAAACTCATCACAAACCTGACCGGATAATACCCTCAAGTATCAGATGGGTGCCAGATGCCTCCGCAAATCAGTATCAATATGAAGAGGTCACTCGCACTCCAGCTCAAGTTCAGTCAATATTTTATTGACCTCTGTGGTGTGATAATATGGCGATGTTTCGGAACCCGTTTGATCCCTTCATCAGGTAAACAAAGTCACTCTTTGTTTGGCTGATGAAGGGACCAAACGGGTTCCGAAACGTTGCCATGTTGTCACACCACAGAGGTCAATAAAATATTGACTGAACTTGAGCTGGAGTGCAAGTTACTTCTTCATATTAACATCATGCATGGAGGATAGATTGCCTGTGACACTCTAGCCTCAGTACTAACCCCCCATGCGACAAATTCATGTACCGGTTTCTGACAGGTACATGAATTTGTCTCAGGCATCCTCATTTATCTTGTCATTCTAAAAATAAACCTTCATACAAAACATACATCTTGCCCTTTTTGGATAGGGTATACAATTTTCCCTCGCTTGTTGGCACAGTACTGATTTTTTTTATTTATCCCCCCACACTTTTAGCATCACAAGATACTGTACATATTGGTAACCATACAATACATGCATATGTCCCAATGTTTATCTCTTTAAATTATCTGCAAGCACAGGAAAATACCTTTCGATGTGCTAGACATCCAGTTTGACCCCAACGTTCTGTTTGAGCTAACAAAACTTCAGTGCTTCTGCCGCACTGAGATCACAAGCAGTGTTACCAGTTCGCCTCTACTTAAATTTAAAGCTTGGGGAAATGTGAATGTATTGCACAGATACACTGAATATATATTTGCCCAGACATACTGTACACTTTCAGCATCTCTCTCCATTTTCCAATATCGGTACTCTCTTAAACTGTAGTAGAATGACATGTTGCGGAAGCTCCTTGCAGGTTATGTGGCTTTTACAGATATCTGCAAAGACATGCAACTGAGATCTCTGGTGGCAGAGACCTAGCAGGGCTGAATGCCGAGTGCGGATGTTAATGCATGACCACACATGACTCCTGAAGTAGGTATATCTAAATATCTATGCTCATGTTGTCAGCTGGTCCAAGCAGTGTAAACATTTGATCAAAGAAATGGCTTTAAATGTTTGTCATTGATAGAAAAAAAAAAAACTATTCTATATTTATAAGTAGTATGATATGAAAAGGTTTCCTACCCAGTTAATGGATTTTAAAGGCATAAAATAGTAGTAGTGGCAGAAATCCAGAATGAGAGTGTAACCACTAAGGAGCTGAGTGTAAAAGCAGAGCTGGAGGAACAGCCAGTGATTGTCTTCTCCAACACAGTTGTTTATCCTGTGGAAGACACAGAAAAACTCCTGGAAATAAATTGATGATACATAAGATCTTATACAAACTGCTGGTGAAACGATACTCTTCAATTCTCATAGGGAAGATGATTCAGAGTAGTCAGGAAACGTTATACAATTAAAAAGGTTTTGTTGATGCAAATTCTTTTTTTTTTCCTGGGCTTAAACGCAATTTTAGCCCCCTCCAATCCAAGTTTTTGTTTCTACAACCCCATTAGATCTGTATATAGAGCTATATTTATTCTAGGCAGACTGAGGAGGACAGATCTTGTGTAAAAGTAGCATTTCGTTGGAAGCTTCAAAGAGTAAAATTAGAGCTGTGAATTAACCTTTACAAACTAATTGATGCCATTGCTCCCTGCCAAGATCTGGTGTCATACTCACCGACTATGCATGTGGTTCGGAGTCCAATCTACTTCAAATGTTTTATTTTGGTTTTCTTCCCATCTACTGCAGGGGTGCCCACAATTTTGTGTGTTAAGATCTACTTTTGAAATGATGAGCTACATGAGATCTACCAATGAAAAAAAAATCTCCCTCGCTCTCTCTCTCTCTCCTGGCTGTCTCTCCTTGATCATCCTCCTGTCTGTCTTTTCTCACTCTCTCTCTCCTTGCTCATCCTCCTGGCCATCTTTCCTTGCGCTCTCTCTCCTGGGTATCATTCCTCGTTTTCTCTCCTGGCTGTCTCTCTTCCCTCTCTTGGCTGTCTCTCCTTGCTCTCTCCCCTGGCTGTTTCTACTCTCTCTCTCTATCTCTCTCTCTCTCTTTCCTGGCTGTCTCTGCTTGCTCTCTCTCCTGTCTGTCTCTCCCCGCTCTCCCTCTCCTGGCTCGCCTTGTTGTATTTTGCAAACAGTGTAGTGCAATTGGCTATTCTTTGATGTAATACTTTGTAATGTAATGTAATGTAATACACTTCAACCACCAGTATCCACCAGAAAGGTGTCAGGGAGCTGGGCTCAGCAGACTCAGGCGTATAGGTAATCATGTGTGCACAGCGAAATAAATATACCAAAATGGAATAAAGGGGCCACCATTCACACCCTTCGTGATCTACCAGCATCAGCTTTGAGAGCTACTGGTAGATCACTATCTACCTAATGGGCACTCCTAATCTACTGTATATCCAATTTAATTAAAAAAATATGTAACACGTCAAAAGGGTTCGTAGAGCACCCTTGCTTATCAGTTCAGTAAACACTGTCAGCCCAGATGGAAGCTGAAATAGCTGAATATGTAACAAATAGACTAGAAATCTAACTGCTAGCAAGACAGAGGACTGCATTTTATATACATTCATGTGATAAAACCATAGAATGCAAGGAGGGTGTACTTTCTTTAAGTATCAGGGCATAAAAAAAAAAAATCATCTGATCCTTAGCAGGTCTTAAAATTAGGTAAATACAACCTCAGATGAACAATACATTTCACACTGTGTCATTATTTATTTACAAAGATAAAGCCAAAATGGAGTAGTTATGTGTGAAAAACTAAGGCTAGGTTCACAATCGAGGCGATCCGTGACTGCGTGGCAATTGTGCACAAAACTGCGCGGATTGCCGGGCGGTCACGGAATCGCCCACCATAGCCAATCGAATAACAAAAATGTGTCCAAATAACGAATTGTTTCGAACAAATTACACATGCTTTGGTGCAGAGTAGTTTATGGTGCAAGTGTACCGTGATGTGCTGCAAACTGAGGACAGCTTTGCCTGTGTCAGGAACAAGTGTAAAGCTGACCATACACCTATAGATTATCTGCAGATTTTCTATGGTCAGATAGAAAAAGTGCAACAGATTCCTCCATCTACGCTAAACTGTGTGTATGGAGGAATCTCCCACTGGGCCAAGCTTTAGTATCTCGCTAGTTGGCCCCGCTGGCTGTCAAAATACCTGAACAATCTGATTGGATGCAGGGATTGTTCAGGTATTTTGACAGCCAGCGGGGCGACTAGCAAGATACTGAAGCGTGGCCCAGTGGGAGATTCCTCCATCCACACAGTTTAGCGTAGATGGAGGAATCTGTTGTTCTTTTTCCATCTGACCATAGAAAATCTGCAGATAAACTATAGGTGTATGGCCAGCCCAAGGGTTGGCAATGCATCCAGGAAAGCAGTGGCAGCCTCTATAATTCTCACAAAGGTTTCCTTTAAATGTCTCCTAATGCCAGTGTAGTTGGCTACATTACCAGACCCCTGTGTATTAGGTGGGTCCAATGTCATGTTCATGTTTGTCTCTTTCTAACTAGATAATAATATTATCTCACAGCTCCACTTGTCACTGGTAATACTACTGTGATCTATAACTGTATGTAGACTTAGGACAGCATTGTGCTGCGTTTATTTCCTCTATAACCTTTCACTATTTCCAATCCGTCATCAATTATTGAGTACATTTCTGAGTATAGTCTGGTCATTACCAAGGACAGTGGTGATCCATCTTTCTGACACAGTGCCCACATCTACTGCAGTGGTGAGAGCGTTTTGGTCTCATCATGTTGCATTTGTTACATAATTCCCAGAATTCTTTTTCTAGAAAACAAAAAACAAAAAATTAGATTCTAAAAACAAGCTAAAAAGCAAAGGCTTAAATGGAATTTGTAGTCATTAATTAGAAAGGCAAACAAGCAAATGGGCCTATAATGCTAAGGTGGCTGCAGTCATTAGAGATGTCTGCAGAAAGACCTTTCACTAGAAATGCTGTTTAGTGCTCAGGTCATGCATGCTTGGTAGGTTGATGTCTAATGTCTGTAGGCAGACTGATGCCCCCATTCAGTGCTTTGGGCACTCTCTGTTGTCAGCATTAAAGTGTATCTAAACTCCATAAACAAAAATGTAATATATTGGAGCTTATCAATCCTTAATGTGGTGGCTGCATTAGTTTTCCTATTTATTTTCACCTGGTGATCTGGCCAGTAAACATAATTTCTGTCTTCGGGTGGCTCCACTCTATGGAGGAGCAACGGAGCCACCCTTGGGCAGCAGCATTGTCAGCCTGTGGAGAGGGTAATGTTAGCTGCAGTAGCAGATTTAGATGGACTTGACAAATTAAATCCAAACTCCTGAGGCGTGTTCAGTTGCTCAGCTGCTGCGAATGTGGATGCAGAGTGCCGAGTGTGATGGAGAAGGTGGGGACAGAGCACCAGCGGCCATTTTAACTGTGGGCACACCTGGCAGCGCTGGAGAAAGGTGCCTAAACCCCGATTGAGGAAATCAATTCAGTGTGGGAACCTCTAATTTAATGTTTTGGTGGACGAGCACACCAAATATTCGATGGAAAATTGTATTTATTCAATCAAAAATAGGGATGCACCGATGCGGATACTAGTATCAGTGCCAATACCAAGTATTTGGGCGAGTACTCATACTCGCCCAAATGCTACCGATGCCTATCCCGATACAGGAACTTCTGGTATCAGGAAACTGGACAGCAAGTCATTACACGCTAACCGGCTTCCTGATTGGCCGCAAAGCCGGCTCCATGCTCCCTCGTCACCAGGGATTGTCAATCAGGTAGCCGGGGGAGTGTAATGACTCGCCACTCGGCTCCCTAATTGGCCGAGAGGGGGTAATGAATTGTCTTCTAGCTTTTTGATTGGTAGGGAAGCTGGCCAATCAGGAAGCCGGGCAGCAAGTCATTACCCGCCCCCCAGCTTCCTGACTGGCCAGAAAGCCAGGGCCATGCTTCCTTGTCACTTGGGGACAAGGTAGCATGGAGCCGGCTTCCCGGCTAATCAGGAAGTCAGGCGCCGCGTAGGTTTCCGACCTATCAGGAAGCCAGGTGGCGAGTCATAACCCGCCCCCCAAATTAATGATTGGCCAGAAAGCTGACTCCATGGTTCCTTGTCACCTGGTGACGAGGGAGCATGGAGACGGTTTCCTGGCTAATCGGGAAGCCAGGCAGCGAGTCATTAGACGCTGCCCGGCTTCCTTAATGGGACCTCCGGTATCGGTATTGGCGAGTACCAAGAAAAAAAATATCGGTACTCGATACCGAAAAACCAATATCGGTGCATCCCTAGTCAAAAATATTATCCTCCACCATTTTGCTTAGCACTGTGCAGCCAAAGCATTCAGTGAAGCTGCTGCAGAACTGCTACTCAGAGCTTGGCTAAGGAACTGAACACGCCTTAGCTCACACCTTTTAAGCAGTTAGAATAACTGTTGTTTTTTTTACCTTAAGGCCCCGTTCACATATAGCGAATTGTCGCGCGATATCGCGCATTTTTGACGCCGCGATATCGCGAGAAGTCGCCGGCCAATGTTATTCAATGGAGCTGTCTTAACTCCATGTCGCTCGTCGCGGTCGCAAGTCGCTTCTACCGGACCCTTTTTTCGGCGGATTTTGCGCGATTTTGCTTTTTTTCTCGCTGGAACGTCGCCCCGAAAGTCGCGCTATCCCGGCCGTGCGGATCCGCTGCAAAAGGTATGTCGCTAGGTGTAAATGGGGTCTTAGGGATAAAAGTTGGGATTTAAAAGGAAGTTAAAAAAAATAAGACTTAATGGCCGGATCATCAGGTGAAAATAAATGAAACTAGCCTAAAAAAAGAAAACCAATGCAGCCATCACATTTAAGGATTGGTCAGCTGTAATATATTTTTGATACTGGGTTTAGATACACTTTAAGTAAACTGTATGGAGTTATTTGCTTTCATAAATATGGACAGGAAAAAAAACAGACCTACACTACATGTTTAAACAGATACTACGTAGCAACGTAACCACTTGTCAAGTCACCTTATCCGCAGCACACGGAAAATAAAAGGTGCTGCTAAGGAGATGGCTTCTAACAGATGGTCAAATTGTTCAGCAGCATACAATAAAAAGAAAACCTAAACTAGCTTAGCCATTAGGTCCATGAGGAAATAACGTATACAAAACATGCAAGAAAAAACTAGTCTGGCTGTCTGTCATTGTCTTTTATAAAAGCAGGAAATACACAACCAAGACAGAAACTTGATTTCACAAGCAAATTGGTTAAAACACGTATTTTTCCACAACTTGGCAGCAGACTGAAAACCTCACTTGCATATTAAATGGTATGTATTAAAGACAAATAAAATGTACAGCATTTCCTTGTTACATGGAATGCTTTGAATCTATTGTCAAGCATTATTTTGCTAATTATACAATTGTATTGAGCATAATAACAAAGTTAAACCCAGCAGTTTCTATGGTGATAAAATTGATCAAACACGACAGAACACCCAGTTCTATCCAGTCTGCTTGCATGCTTCGTTGTTCCTAGAAATGTGCACATGTTCACAGCATATTCATTTATTGTTCAAGCAACAAAGGATGGCCCTCTATTCAAGTAATGCAGCAGAGAAGGCTGGCAGCATTGCATCTATGTGTATACCAGAACTGCAACTCTATTTGCAGGTAATAGTGCTTCGCAAGAAACTTTGTAAATGACACCAGACAATATAAAATTACGAAATAATTCACACACAATATCCCGATACCACTTTTTCAAGACCAAATACAAGTACTGTGACTCATGTACTTGCCGATACCAATTACCAATACTTTTTCTTAAAAGGGACATGTGACATGTGACATTTTTCTAAAACAATACAGACTAATAATTTTAGGGCAGTTTCTCACCAGGGCTGCGTGCATTGTAGGTGACAGGTTCTCTTTAAGGTGACATTAGGGGTCTTTTTGACCTCTAGTGTCACCTTTCCACTTCACTGGATTCCCTGAATGTAAATACAGCAGGCAGTGGCTGGGAGCAATAGCCAGCCTGCTATTGGATATTTTAAATTGCAATAGCCAATAGCAGGCTGGCTATTGTACCCGCCCACTGCCTGCTGTCAATCAGCAAAGGAGGGAACTGAAGACAAAGTTCTCCATCAGGTCCTCTCTGCTGATTGACAGCAGGCAATGGGCGGGTACAACAGCCAGCCTGCTATTGCAATTTAAAATATCCAACAGCAGGCTGGCTATTGTTACATATGTCCATTCCTTTTCCACTTGATGAAACTGTTTGCTTTTGGTGATATATCTCAGTGTCAGTTGTCTGTGCTCCTTATGTGTTTAATAATACCCTCACCAGAGGTACACAGAAGTTTTCCCTCTCAATGAAAGAAGGGAAGGTCCGTTCTGTGTGGAGGCAAGATTTACAGCGTCTCTCCTCCCCCGTGAACATACAGAACGGACATTCTCTTCTTTCATTGAGAGGGAAAACTTCTGTGTACGTCGGGTGAATGCATTAATAAAACAAATAAGGAGCACGGACATCTCACACATTGTGATAGAAATCGCCAAAAGGAAACAGGTTTCATCAAGTTGAAAAGGAGGGGACACGGAAGGACGGAGGAGCAGCAGCAGCGGAGGTACAAGAGAGGGGGGGGCGCGGGGGAATTCAGAGTCCCAGCCATAGTCTCTTCTCCCCACTTGTGCTGCCTACAGGAGGTCTGTGAAAGGACACAGACCGCTGCAGCCAGCACCAGCAGGGAGAAGAGACTGTCCACACAGAACACTTAATGCCAGCCCTGCTGTCACACTTCCGTCCGGAGAGGTCAGAGTGAAGAGGGAGCCTGCGTTGGGTGGAGAGGTATTCCGGGAGAGGGGCTATGCGGGTCAATGGCCGAAGCTAGTTGAAAAGAATTTAAAGGGCTGGTATTGGCTCTATGCCTTGGGGCATTTTCAGGAGTACAAGTACTCCTGAAAATGCCCTGCATTGGCCCCCATACTAGTATCGGTACATCCCTAATATCTATCTATCTATCTATCTATCTACATACACTATAGATATATATTGAGTATTGTTTTCTGTCAGAATACAACTGCATACATTTATTTCTTTAAAATCAAAACAATGCTGCTGGCTTTACTCTCATAGGGCCTGCCCACACATCATGTGTAGGAAAAATGCTTTTGGGAGAGTTCTGGGGGTGTGCTTATGTCAGTAGGAACTGAAATCCAAGGAGTTGCTCCTGCATGAATTGTACATGCCTTTTGATGATATAACAGGGAGTAAGGGCCAAACACTTCTGCCTTCAAGATAATCTTTTGAGGTTCCTCATATTAGTGTACATAAAAGCAACCAATTTATTTATTACAGGTATTTATATAGCGCAGACAAATTTTACGCAGGGCTTTATATAGTTGCACATTCACATCAGTCCCTGCCCTCAAGGAGCTTGCAATCTAAGGTCCCTATCTCACATGCATACATACAGGGCCAATTTAGACAGAAGCCAATTAACCTACCAGCATGTCTTTGGAGTGTGGGAAAAAACAGGAGTACCTGGGGGAAACCAGCGCAAGCACAGGGAGAACAAACTCCTTGTAGATAGTCACCTGGCCAGGATTCCAACCGGAGACCCCCAGTGCTGCTGAGAAGGAGAGGATTCCAATGGCCTGATCTACAAATGTCTGGGCAGCTTTATATAGTGAACCGTGGGCAGATAAGTAAATGCACTATGCCACTTACACTGACCTGCGTGAACCTGATCTAAGTGACACCCAAATCCTCTCAGCCTACCCCTTGACTTCTCTCCAAAAGGTGCTGCCAAGGAATCACATCAGAATGACAAGGTGGCCACAGATCCCAAACATCACATTAGGGGATTTAAGAGGCATATCCAGTACATGGTAGGTCCTCAGCTAGTAATACTTTTACAATAGTGGGTATACCTGGTAAGCTTAGATGGCACTTATACCGCATAAATTCAACATAACAGTGTCAAGTTTTAGCAATTACTAAAGCCTTTGTTATTTAAAAACTATTGATCGCTTGGGGGAAAAAATTTGTATACACCATTAGAGAGTACTGTTAATAAAATTGGCAAAGGGGTACGAGGCAGAGAAGGCAGAACAGTAAAGGGGTACATGAGATAACGGCACTTGCTACAGGGGGTACTCATTCTGTAGTTGTGAAAAGCGGTAAATATTTTAAAACATTACAGTAAGATCTATTGTTCATTTTGCATGGTGCCTACATATGTTGGTTATTTGTTTGCCCAGCTCGCAGTAAGAAACCACTGCTTGCAGAGACATCAAAGTATACTGCTTACCTGTGATAGGTATTTTTGGACTATCGTGCAATTTGCCAGGGTCTGCGGTTGATGCTCTTAAAAGTGAAACCACGCAAAACACGGAGGCGGTGTAGTAAGCTGCAAGACAAAAACATAAATCAGCCACACATTTATTATTAAACATGAACTCTAGGCAGGATATACAATACACAAATGAATGCAGCTCTGTAATCATCAATGCATCCTTTAAAATAGAGAAACCTCCTGCTTACAAATGGAGCTGGACAGAAGAACCATGTCCTGGTTGAGGTGAAAGGGCTGGCCACATGGGAGACGCCCTTCAAAAACATGTTTTAAATCAAGGAGAGGGCAGTCAATAGTCTATGGAACAAGACAGCAAGAGCAGAGACCGGACCCTTAAGGGTGCTAAGTGCCAAATAATGGTTCAGACTCAGCTGTAAGAAGGCAAAGACTTGTTCTGTGCAATAATTTCCTGGGATGAAAGTCTCACACCATGTTATGCATGCCACCAGTATGTCGAGCAGGGCCTGCCAGAAAGAACAAGGCCCTAGAGAGGGCCTCCAGCCACTCAGCGGGGTCCTTAAAGACAGGTGCATCCCCCACTGGTATGGTGGATGCTTTGTTAAGACGAGACACTGCTGAATCCACAAAGGGGGCCGACCACTTTTTAACAAAGACCTCTTCAAAATTGCACAAGGCTAATAAGCGTTTGGGAGGTGCAAACAGCCAAAACAGTCTCTTTTAGCTTGGCAGTAACGACAGAAGACCGGTAATGGCTGGAGAAGCCGAGCATCAGACAGAGTCTCAGCAAAAATGGCTTAGAAGCCACAGGCAGATCACACACACACACGACAGACATGACTCCCGGAAAGAGATGCATCATGGGATTTGTAGTTTCACCACAGCTAGAGGGCCAGAGTTTGGCTACCCCTGATCTAGTCTGACAGATGTTTCTTATATAGAGCACAAAAAATGCAAGAGGCAAGTGTGAATGCAGCCTTACATGAACACCACACTGTCCAGAAAAAGTGTTAAAGGCCTTGGGACAAACAACACAACACTGCTGGGGTGCTTATAATAGTCAGCTTTATTTATATGGCTTAAACCTTTTTCCAAAAGAAAATAAACCTGTTGCTGTAACTAATTCAATTGTTTTAGCTGGATTTGGGCTATAGTAGGTTTGTCCCTTAAAGAAGAACTCTGGGCAGTAGAAAACTTAACCCTTGGACCCTGCTGACTGCTAGACCGGTCCCTGCAGCCTCCCTCCCCCTCCGTTCCGGTGGTCCAAGAACCTGGTAGTCAGTACGTCCAATACAGTGTATTAGACTTGAGGACGCCAAGGGACATTCCATTGCCAGAGCAGAGGGTATGCAGGAACCAGTCTAGTAATCAGCCGTGTCTGAGGTTTTGAGTATTTGTTATTTCGGACCCAAGAGGAAAAAAAGCACTTAACCCCTTCATTACAGGAGTAGCCCCGCTGCGAGAGTTAAGTTTTCGTCTGTTGGGAGTTCTTTAAAGTCCATTGAAAACTACATGTCCAGCTAAGCCTACTCTTTCCACAGGGTGACAACACTGCAGTGATTTTACTGTAATTAAAAGGAATGGATTCACTGGCAAGATCAACAACGCTACAGGGGAACTGCTGTGTTCATGCTAGTAACAAACTGAATTCTATATACCATTTTTGATTTTGCCTACAGTTCTATTTTATTGTTACACAAAGCACAGGAGCAAATGTGTGGTAGCAAAAACTTAAATCACAGCAGTTAACTCTGGATTCACTGAACAGGCAAATATGTAAAAAGGAGGACAACCCCGCATTAGGCAAGCATAGATTGAAAATAAAATAAGAAAACATTTTTTTTTAAGTGTGTGTGTGTGTGTGTGTGTGTGTGTGTGTGTGTGTGTGTGTGTGTGTGTGTGTGTGAGGCTGTGGGGTAAAGTTTCTCTTTAAAGACAAATCTCATTAAAAAACAAACGTACAAGATGAAATGAAAAAGGCCTGGTAATTTGGGGAAGATTATGCTTGGGTCAGCACTCTCAGTAAGGCCTCATTCGTATATGCACGTGTTGTCCCATATGCAACATATGCAAATAAATGGCTCCATACACATAGCTGTGTAAGGAGCCGTATATTTGTGTTGCGTAAAGATGCGCAAAAGCAGAATTGACTTGAGAAACGCGTCCGAGCAGTGTATTTCTGCATATTTTACGCGCATATACGCACGTACAGTTCAATAAAATTTCTATTATGAATGATGCATTCTGGGATTGCATATAGTGCGTGCATATACACGTATATACACAATATACAATTTTGCTCTTGCGTTGTGTGTGCATGAGGCCTTACTGGAGCTACTCACCAGTGTGTTTTTCTTCCAAAGTCTTCCAATCATAGGCCGGAAGAGGCCAATCAGGGTAGAATGTCAGTGCACTGCTGTGCCTTTCTTGTCCAATCACAAGCTGGGAAAGACCAATAAAGGCAGCATGCACATTCCTTCATTGTGCTATTAGAATCTGGGAGAGGCCAATCAGGACTTCTTAAGCGTCTAATCAGAGGCTGGTAAAGTAGCGTTAAATAAGGACGCAAAACAACAACCCTTTTTTTCTGTTTTATAGTTGCCCATCAAAGGGGTCATTACAGCTTCTGTGAGCTCAAGAAGGAAGCATGCTGGACTGTGCAGACATAAGAGTAAAGTAGGATATATAGAGCATGTATACAGAGCCTGGAATTCTGCATGACTGGAACTGCCCCAGTTAAAGGAATTCTAGGAAATCAGTCATCAGGCTAAACAACCTAAACACAATGTGAATCGTGACATGGCAGTGTCCTAATTGTGCAGTGGTATAGAGAAACCCTGTATTCTAAATGGGAAATGTCTTTATCCAACGGAACAGCTTTGTGCCATATCCCAAGGAAATACAGAAAAATATCTATGCCTGAAGCACATGAAAGAAAGCTGGAAATAAAACAAGCAAATACATGTAAATGGTAGAACGCACAGTTAAAACGGATAATGGGACAAAAGATAATACTTGGGTATGTATTAAAACACCCATAAAACCATGTGGTTTTTTTCTCACATTGTCAGAGTTTAAGAAATAGATTTTTTAACAATTTGGTGATATGCATTCCAGACCTGCCTCATACTAGTTGCCTGACTGGCATGCAGTGGCATCAATACTTCCAGTCGCAAAGCTGGAAGTTGCATGCAGATTAGTTCTGACTTTAGTGGTTGCATGGCTGTTCACGTCAATGACTCAAATGGTATTGTGCTCCAATGAGGACATTCCCCTTCATTTCTTGTCCCAAACATGCAACAGGAAGGAAGAGAAAAACTATAAACTGTTAGGGGAATTCCCCTCTAAGATGTTACCAGAACATACTGTATATCACCATTGAAAGATTCCTCAGCTATTTCTGTTCGGGTGACAACTGTAAAATGTTGGGTTTTTCATTCATTTTAATCTCAGTGACAGTAAAAGTTTGGCTATATACACACTTTGAGGTAGCTGGAAGGCTGAAAGGTAATATGTAATGATCAAGGAAATATTCATTTATAGGAACGAAGTCTTTTGTATAATCTCCCATTTTCCCCCATCGCCTATCTCCCCATTTCCAGAACTTGACATTGATAATTTCCTACCTGATATTCGCACTATCATCATACATATCCTATATGCAGCCAAATTGTTAATTACTCGGAGATGGTTACAACCAACTCCCCAAACATCAGAGACCTGATTATGCTGATTAATACCCAATACTCCTATGAGAAAATGTTTGCAATGAAGAGTAACACTTATCCTGCATTCTTTTCGGCATGGAAAAAAATGGATTATACACCCCTATTGCATTGTCTGATTTCCCCTATTTGAGAGTACACAACTGGTACATACTTTACTTTACCCCTCTTTGTCTTCTCTCCCCTCTCCCCCCCTCATGTTTCACCCTTCCAAGTTCATGAGAAAGAAAAACTTATTGAATACTTAGCTTGATACGGCATAATACTCTATGTATGGTTCTTTTACTGTTAACACTACTGACTGGTTAATGTTTCATACACCTGTGAGTATTTTTCTTACCAAATGTCATCTTGCTGTATTACATGACTTGACTTTAATAAAGAAATATTGAGATGCAATATTCATTTATGTATACATTCACATCCTGTGAGCATACTTGTGTGCATGCATATATAAAAATACAGCCAGCTCTAAACACAGAGCACCGCGAGAGAAGGACTAAAAGGGGGGAATTTGTGAAAACTGGAGCAGACAAAATCTGGAGCAGACTTGCACTGCAGCCAATCAGCTTCTCTGTCTCATTTTCAAATCTTACCTGAGCAAACTGAAGAGAGATGCTGATTGGTTGCCATAGGCAACTGCTCCAGATTCTCTCTGCTCCAGTTTTGATCAATCCCCCCTTCTAAGTATCAGTAAACTTAGGCCCCATTCACATGTAGCGACATACCTTTGCAGCGGCCGGGATAGCGCGACTTTCGGGGCGACGTTCCAGCGACGGTAGCGCGACCTTCTCCGTCGGGCTCCATAGAAAAAAAGCAAAATCGCGCAAAATCCGCCGAAAAAAGGGTCCGGTAGAAGCGACTTGGACCGCGACGAGCGACATGGAGCTAAGACAGCTCCATTGACTATCATTAGCCGGCGACTTCTCGTGATATCGCACGGCAAAAATGCGCGAAATCGCGCGATAAGTCGCTACATGTGAACGGGGCTTTAAAGTGATTTTCACTGGGGCTCTTAATGGGCAACTGCTCCAGGTTTGACAAATCCCCCCCATAGTGTATGTGTGTGAGTATACTGTACATGTAAGAATTGTCAAAACCTTTATGATGATTTGATAAATTTGAGGATTTGAGTCCGTCTAATATGTATGGTTACCATACCATTAAAATATTCTAAACATTTATACCAAACGATGTTTGAATCATAGGTTCTCATTAACTTGTGATCTGTCTCTGAGTAATTGAACGACTTTAATAATCTCATCTGTAGCCAACTGGCAGAACTAATTCAGTTGGCTTTCAAAACACTTCTCCTAGAAAAACAAATCCATGTTAAGCCCCCACAGAGAATGTAACTTAAAGTGGACCTGAACTGAAAAGTGGAGATTTGCTAGGTTATAGGAAACATTTAAAAATCCAAAGTACATTTGGTCTGGAATTGTCTTTGAAAAATAGCAGTTCCCTTCCTGGTGTGTGAGTGCGTCTAGGCACCCCTGTATCCACAGCCTCATAGCTGTATATCTGCAGAGTGAGATCCTAGGCACTGCTAGTCACTGGAGATTAGGAATGAGATTTGGTGATGTCACTACTGTGCTGCTCACTGTTCTCTTTGCAGGAGGATCTGCCATAAGGGAAGCAGAGCTCTGCTCCTACCCAAGATGGCCACCTCCACACAAAGACTATACCTTGAACTGCAATGAGTCAGTAATGTGGAAAACATGAGCTGCAGGGAGACCACAGGCAATACTGGGGACAAGCCCTTTGCCCTTGTCTGTCTTTTTAGGCCCAACTTAGAGTTTAGATCCTCTTTAAATACCAAATGTTTTAAATCTATGCAATTCCCTTAATGATGGAGCCAGTCCTATAAAAGAGATTGTACAAGAAAAAAAAAAGCATTCTTTACTTCAGTAAATCGGCAATCATTAACTGCAAAGACAGAAATAACAGCATTAGAAAGAAATGCTAATTGCATATACAATATTCACTAGTAACCTGATTTTATGTTTTCAAGTAGAATACAAGGTAAAAAGCATTGATCCGACATATTTTTGCACAAGTATTTGTATAATGCGCTCAGCTGGAGAAAATGGGGAAAAAAAACACCAAACAGATTGTTTCCGGTTGCTCATTTACCAAGAACCACACTGATATGTACTGTAAAAAGAATATTCTGTAACAAAAGATTTTGCACCTCCCCTTACTATTGACCTATAAACCTTTGTATCGACCTGTAGCCACAAGTGTATAATCTAAAGCTGGGTAAAAAAAAAAAAAAAATCTTGTCAGAACATTCGATAATACTATCAGGACTTGTAGAATGTCATTTCATGGAAAACTTGTTTCGAATCGTATGAAAAAAAAAAAAAAAATTGGATGGATCAGTGGCGTTTTTGGACAAAAAAATAAATTTGCAACAGGAACACTGCACGTGCGCAAACAAAAATCCGTTCTGTTAATCAACAATATTCGGTCAGTTAGTATTGATAACGAACGATAATCGAAATCCACATTGGTCTGTGCATGATTGGGTATTCGAGCGGAAATCGGACGGTTAGATGAAGGCACGAAAAAAATCTAACGATAATTGTAAGGTGTATGGGCACCTTAAGAGCAAGTTGGCTCAGAGTATCAGGTGATTATAACTTTTTTTTTGGGGCACCTAGGCAAAAACAAGCAGTAAACCCTTACAATGTGGGGGTAGCCCCGCTGCAAGGGTTACTAAAAGTTTTACCCAGGGTTCTGCTTTAAAAATCCATTCACATACCTTAACTTTTAACAAAAATTTAGCTTATTTGTGTATTGTATTGAGATTGTAGTCCATCACAGGAGTGAGCTTGGAGCGGTGGCTACTTTACAACACACACATGGACCATAGGGAACAAAAGTTGCCACCACCAGAAGGAAGGACAGTGTCAGCACCAATTCAGAGATGATTTGAGGATCTACAGCTGAGTGATACACAAATAAGGCACATTGTTGTTAGTAGTTAAGGTACTTGAATGCATTTTTAAGATTTAACCCCTGAGTTTAGTGTCACTTTAAGCATGTGCATGCTTTCTAGGCAATTCTTTAGAACACTAGCTGTGTTAATAAAGAAATCTGTGCAATCAGGAGTCTGTAGAACTTGCTAAACAATGGTGTGGTTGCTGCCAGCCTGAGACTGACCATGCACAGTGCCACAACTGTGTGATACTATGGAAGATCACAGACCATTTTTGGTTGCAAAACTCCCATTTCTGCGAATCACCTCCAAACCAACCTGTGATCTTCCTTTTCCCGACTTTTTTTTCCTGTATGACTAGCTGGCAGCATTTTCCATTGGACCTTACAAAAAGAAAAATCAATGCTTTTCCACCCAAAAGGTATATTGTGTTCAAGGTCTGTAGAAGCGTGGCTCACCAGGACCCAGAAAAGATTCTTCTCTTTACGTTAGTGCGTTTCATCTTGTTTTCCGTCTTACACACACAGAACGAGTATACATGACGAGGATGCAAGCTACATACCCCATATGGCAGCAGCTGGGATGTGTCCTTCCTCAAAGCGGGGGAAGAGGACTAGCTGTGGAATAAACAGTGTGTTGTACAGCCAGATGAAGAAAATCGCCACGACACAGCACCATCCCTGTGGGTCAGCAACAAAGTGTATAGGCAGCCCCATTCTTCATAGTCTCCACACGTCTGAGAGAAGAAACCGTCTCGGCACAAATCTGCAGAAAACGATCACAAGCGTGTTAGTTATACCGAGTGGTTTCAACATGTAACAAAAACGGCAAAATTCCTCTCTCTCAAAACTCAAATTGCCAAGCTGGAGCGTGCAACTGAAATTTCTTTCTTTTCAAATGCCAGCTCCAGAAGTACCTATTGATGTTTAGAGAAAATCAATTTGGCTGCTTCTATATCACATTACAATCAATGGCATGTGGGTGTGCCTATTGAAGGATCACATTACATAGGCGAATACAGAAATGTTGAGTCACAGACAAGTGCAAAGCACAAATGACAGTGGAAATACATGAATACAATGGGAAGATAAATGTAGGAGCACAACGAATCTCTAGGTAGAGGTTAGCAACGGCAGGAGGGTAAATAAAAGGCACTCCTGACTGCTGGAGGCTTTGATTAGTATTCCATGACATCAGAAATGGCCACATTCTATTAAGCAATGTCTTTCCTGGCTTTTGTGACAACTCTCAGTGCCTATGTTAAAAATCACCAAGTACCAGTAATGTCACATGGGAGGAGGGGGAATGAGTCGCACTAAACCTATACCCAGAAGTAACAGGCATTTTCCTCCACTCCAGGCGCACAGGTCCACTTAAAACTAAAGGAGGTGTAAAGTCATAGCATATTCTGTCCTATTATAACATCAGCATTGCAAGAGGAATACAGACTAAAGTTATTTTTGATAATGCAATTCAAGATTACTGTATTTTGCACTCTATAAGGCGCTCCGGACCATAGGACGCAGGGATTCTGTGACAGGAATTCTGACAGAAGCTGCAGTTAGTGACCGCTGAGACAGGTGGCGCTGTGACTACAGCGCCACGGTCTCAGTAATCACACAGAGCAGACGAAGAACGACTTTCTTCGTCTGCTCAAGGGGCTCTATGGTGAGCTCCTATGCTGTGGTTACGGTCCCCCAGAGGAGCGGGGGACCCCGAAAACCACGGCATGGGGACGGACACGATCGCTGCTCGATTTAATACAAGTGATCTAATTAGATCACTTGTATTAAAACGAACAGCGGCTCCCACTTTACATTCAGCTCTGCTCGTCAGGAGCAGGGCTGAATGTACAAACAAACTACTCGACCGGCGCCCGAAACTGCATGTCAGGTATAGGTATTCGCTCCATAAGACGCAGGAACATTTTTGCCCTCCCTTTGGGGGGAAAAAAAGTGCATCTTATGGAGCGAAAAATAAGGTACTTGAAACAATCCCTTTGATGTAGTGAGTGCTGCATTCTGTCTGCCCATCACTTGCAACAACTTCCTGGATTCCCAGTGTGCTTTGTCTCTTTCCCTGTTGCTTGATGTCAGGTAATCTCCATTTCTCAAGACTACATATCCCATCATGCATTGCTTCCAGCAAGCAATGAAAAGTTTACATTGCTCAGACGTGGAGTTGTAGTTCAGAAGGCAGGCTGTGTGAGAGTTGTGAAGTGCATCTCCACAGGGCTGAGTGACATTGTGTCAGTGCATTGAGAAAGTACATCCTATGGACATCTTCAATAAGTAAGAGTACAGTCTTCTACTGTATATTGATATGGATATTAGAGGTGGGATAGAGCCTATAAAGATTCAATATAAAAATACATTGATTTTTACTTTTTCCCCATAAATAGCCTTTAATAGATTTAGATCAGTGGTGGGTAACTAGAACTTGAAAGTGACAAAAGGAGACTTCTGACTCGGACAGGACCATATGGCATTTTTTCTAACGCTCGCTCATTAATAGTTCATATTGATGTTGTTTCCTTGTCCTAACAACCTTCTAAAAGTATGGGCATTGGTTCAGAAACTAGAAGGCCCATTCATACCACTGTGTTGTGGTAACATATGTAACATGCATTGGTGTGCCGTGATGACTCATGGGACCTTAAACCGCTGCAGCAGAGGGGGAGAGAGGCTGGTAGGCTGGGTCTAAGAGCAAGTTGGCTCCAAGGTTCGGGTGAGTAGAACTTTTATTTTAGCACATACACAAAAACTAGCACTTGACCCTTGCAGTGCGGGCTTCTTCAAGGAACACTGGCTACCTGGCTCCTGGGATTTGTCCAGCCTTGACTCAGGCCTTGTTCACACCAGACACAGTGCGTTCCGGCCCGATGCCTGCAGCATTTTGTTCAAACTGAACCACGCCGCAGGCATATTGTGGCTTGCGTTTCCGTGCGGCCAATCGCATTGTGCTATAGCTACTATGGTTTAGAAAAAAATTTTAGTTGTGCACCTGGATCTCCTGTGTGTCACTTTATTGTACCAGACAGTACAAGGACCTCTAACTCTGATCTCTATGACTTAGGCCTGGTTCACATCATACACAGTGCGTTCCGGCCCTATTCTGGCCAGAATGCTCTGCTTTGCATTGTGACCAGCTCACCATGTTGTGGGGCAAAAGAGGGCGTGGCGTTCCATTGACATGAATGGCACCTCTCCTGCCCCACAACATAGTGAGCTGGCCGTAATGCAAAGCAGTGCATTCTGGCCAGAATAGGGCCGGAACGCACTGTGTATGATGTGAACCAGGCCTAAGTCATAGAGATCAGAGTTAGAGGTCCTTGTACTGTCTGGTACAATAAAGTGACACACAGGAGCTCCAGGTGCGCCACTACATTTATTTCTAAACCATAGTAGCTATTCCCAGCCAGATATACAGTATAATGGATGGTAATACATTCTAATGAAAGGTCATTTTTTTCACATGGCTTTGTAAACCCATCCCCTCTTTATAAGCCTTGCAATATCAAATTGTATTAAGACTAGAGTTGCTTATATCAACCAGATACAGTGCTTCATCTTTAGAATACAATGACACACCTGACTGATTGCCATTTGTTTTCTCAACTGTTGCCTACAGTACGTGTCTGAGGGAACGACTGATCTGTATTTAATGCATCCGAATCTAATTTCATGCTCCTAGAATGCACTGAGAAAGAAGGGGAGAAACGATAGGTTGCTGTGGGCAATGCAGACATACAAAACCCAGACACATTAATAGATGAGGTTGATGTGCACAACTAGAATCCCTAGTGCTCATCCTCTAGCCATTTTCCATTTTGGAATTTGTAAATTGCAGGTTACGCAAACTCAGGACAGGGATTAAGTACGCATTTGTGTCTAGGTTAAAAAAACAACATTATACTCACTGCAAACCTCATATCCAGCTGGCTGTGACAGCACTTCCTCCAGCCTGTCTCCTCTTCTGCTCCAGTGATGGTATGTCTCTCGGCGTGGTCACATTCTATACTCTTTGTATAGAATGTGATGACTCAAGGATCCTTAGACCGCTGCAGCGGGGTGAGCAAGGTGGGAGGCATAAGGAGGATCAGGGGCGTATAACTTCTATTTTATAACCTAGACACAAACTAGCATTTAATCCTTGCAGTGCAGGAGTAACCCCACTGCAAGAGTTAAGATTTTTCTTTGACCCCCAGAGTTCTGCTTTAAGTATACTCATGCCTTTCCGGCTACTCCATTCTACACTATCGATCTCCCTTCGCTCAGCCACAAGACGCATAGAAAATATGCAATAATTCCGGGTAGGGAAAAGCAGGTGACTGGGTGAGAGTCCACAGCCCTATATAAACTATAAACCTGCGCTTATCTTGCTCCATCGAAGCTGAACTGAGCAGTGACGTAGCAATGGAAAGGTGAATTTGTGCTGCCGAGGAGAGAGAGGCATAGAAACAAACTTGTTGCCTTACTCTGCATGGGCAAGATAGGTTCACTTTAAACCTTTCACTGCCAAGCCCTGCGTTCCACTTTTAACCTCAACTGGCCACACCATGTTTGCCATTTTTCACCTTTTTCTGCAGCTTTTAGAGTTTGTAAAAGACCCCCCAAAACCATACATTTTCTGAAAGCACAGGCCCGGTAGAATACAAAGATGGTGCTACTAATTTTGTAGGTCCTGCGATAATTGCACAAATGTTTATCAAATCAATATTAAACAGATAAAAATACAAATTGAAAAATCGATAAAAAAACAAATCACACCAAAACCAATAGCAGTGCTTGTGTTTTATTTCTTTAACTTTTTTTTTTTATTCTGTTGGGGACTTCAGGAAAATATTAGACCCTTGACATTTCCCTTTTGAAATAGAAAAAGAAATGGAGGACACAATTAGAAAAAGAAAATCTCTCCAAATTGGGGGAAATCCCTTTTAGACAGTTTTCAATGGAACAAATGTCTCCATTGAAAGATTTTCCCTCTATTCCGGTTATGGTGACAACTCAGCATTTTTAGATTTTCTCACTTTTACTCTCACTGACAGTGGTCAACAGGAGAAATAGAGAGGTGAATCTCCCCAGTGGGGACCGATACAGTCATTAAAACCTGCCAAAGAATCGTAGGAACGCGCTGAAAAACGCCCTACACCCAAAGAAGTACAGGAGCTTCTTTGGGCTTTTTTCCGCGCGTTTCCATTGGTATTCCCGAGTGTGGATCGGGGTAAACATAGCGGTAACCCCGAGCCACACTCGGGAATACAGCATACAGGTCTTACCTTGTGCGCGATCCCCGCTGTGTCCTCCGGTGGCTGTCGACTTCTGGGTTAAAATCATACCGCCAGTGAAACGCGCGTTTCACTGAACGAAAAAAATGCAAAAAAAACGAGCTGAAAAAATACGCTCAGGTGTGAACCCAGCCTTAAGGGAATCTATTAGGGATGCACCGATTCCGAATATTTGGGCAAGTACTCATACTTGCCCAAATGCTTCGATATCTAGCCCCAAACCCGAGCTTCCAGTATTAGGAAGCCGGGCAGCGAGTCATTACACACTGCCCGGCTTCCCGATTGGCTGGGAAGCCAGCTCCATGATCCCTCATCACTTGGGTGACGGAGCTTGGAGCCGCCTTCCCTGCCAATCAAGAAGACAGGCAGCGTGTCATGACTCGCCGCCTAGCTTCCCGATTGGTCGGGAAGCTGGTCAATCAGGAAGCCAGATGGCGAGTCATTAACCCCCCCCCCCCCGCGATTGGCCAGAAAGCCA